AACTACTGTCCTAATCTTCGTCATTGACATCATTATCTGCCAAACTACTGTCCTAATCTTCGTCATTGACATCTCTATCTGCCAAACTACTTTTATAATCTTCGTCACTGACATCATTATCTGCCTAACTACTGTCCTAATCTTCGTCACTGACATCATTATCTGCCAAACTACTGTCCTAATCTTCGTCATTGACATCTCTATCTGCCAAACTACTGTTATAATCTTCGTCACTGACATCATTATCTGCCAGACTACTGTCATCATTGTGGTTTCCTGTAAAATCGTTACCTTCAGAGACATCCCAGAAAATGCACAAATGCAGCCTTTCAGAACAGAAAACCAACATACAAGGCTTAAGAGAATCAAACAATTTTTTAAAAGTTATTTCCTCTATGAAAAATTGGTTTGATATTGGTCCTTTTCAATGTTCATACTCCCCCTAGGAACGGATTATTGAGTTCCACAATACCGTATTCTTAATCAGCGCGTACCTGGGATCCATGTTATATACATATATGAAATTTGTCTGACACCGATTGGAAAGCATAATCTTCAGACCAAAACATCCTCTATGCGGAGAGAAATTCATCGCTGTGAGATTTACCCTAGACCAAAACATCCTCTATGTGGAGAAAAATTCATCGCTGTGAGATTTACCCTAGACCAAAACATCCTCTATGTGGAGAAAAATTCATCGCTGTGAGATTTACACCAGACCAAAACATCCTCTATGTGGAGAGAAATTCATCGCTGTGAGGTTTACCCCAGACCAAAACATTCACTATGTGGAGAGAAATTAATCCCTGTGAGATCTACCCTAGACCAAAACATCCTCTATGTGGAGAGAAATTCATCCCTGTGAGATTTACCCCAGATCAAAACATCCTCTATGCGGAGAGAAATTCATCGCTGTGAGGTTTACCCTAGACCAAAACATCCTCTATGTGGAGAGAAATTCATCGCTGTGAGATTTACCCCAGATCAAAACATCCTCTATGTGGAGAGAAATTCATCGCTGTGAGATTTACCCCAGATCAAAACATCCTCTATGTGGAGAGAAATGCATCGCTGTGAGATTTACCCCAGATCAAAACATCCTCTATGCGGAGAGAAATTCATCGCTGTGAGGTTTACACCAGACCAAAACATCCTCTATGTGGAGAGAACTTCATAGTTGTGAGATTTACCTCAGACCAAGACATTCTCTGTGTGGAGAGAAATTCATCGCTGTGAGATTTGCCCCAAAGCAACGAAGACAGTTCTCAGTAGGTAAAGAATATTACCCCACATCTCCAGGCGTAATGGGCATATAGGGCTAGACTTTTTTTTACAGACCAATCAGCGCTTGGTGGGTAATATGGTCAACATAACTACGGCTGCCTCTACTTTACCTGACTTTACCTGGTACCTGGTACCCGTCTGAGGCTGAGTCGATCTGCGAGCCAAAGCTGTAATTTAAAAAAAAAAAACAAAAAAAAAAAAAACAATACATCCTTTTCTGCCAGGAGCTGAACTCAGGACCTTCAGAACCACGGGCGGGCGTCTAGTCACTACACCACAGTGGTTCCCGTAAACCTATTCACTTCTGTTAGAGAAAAACAAATGATGTACATTAAAATGTGTAGTCATTTTAAATGTTTCTGTTTCATTTTCAGGTACTGAAAAGAGGCAGAGGACAGAGAAGTACAGGGAATGCCTTCCAAACACGGTATTAGGCTGGAATACAAGCCAGAATAATTCGTAAGAAAACTACAAACAACAGAGAACAACATTCAATACCAGCCCTAAAACAATACAAAAATAATTTCAGATAATAAAGACATATATGAGAAGTATCCTACATTGCTGCTCATGTTATCGTTTGATTTACAATTAAGTTGAGAGAAGGCCCTCAAAGAAACAATTATGGAGGGAAATACTGAAGGGACACGAGCAAAAAATATACAAGTCGCATTCATCTGGATAAAACAGGTAGATGACGAATAGAAGTTTCAGAAAGTGAACAACCGAGAGAGCGTGTTTGAGCTCCATTGTGAAAAAAAGTAAAGAAGGAAACAACGAAAGACAGACAGAAAGAAAAAAAGAAAAAAAGAAAGAAAGAAAGAAAGAAAGAAAGAAAGAAAGAAAGAAAGAAAGAAAGAAAGAAAGAAAGAAAGAAAGAAAGAAAGAAAGAAAGAAAGAAAGAAAGAAAGAAAGAAAGAAAGAAAGAAGAAGAAGATGAAGAAGAAAAAGAAGAAGAAGAAGAAGAAAAAAAGAAGAAGAAGGAGAAGGACAAGAAAAAGAAGAAGAAAAGAAGAAGAAGAAGAAGAAGAAGAAGAAGAAGAAGAAGAAGAAGAAGAAGAAGAAGAAGAAGAAGAAGAAGAAGAAGAAGAAAAAAAGAAGAAGAAGAAGAAGAGGAAGAAGAAAAAAGAAGAAGAAGAAGAAGAAGAAAAAGAAGTAGAAGAAGAAGAAGAAGAAGATGAAGAAGAAGAAATAAAAGGAGGAAGAGGAGAATGTAACGTTTTTGAAGGTAAAACGGGGTATATGTGATGCACAGGATGAGATCAGTGTAACCCCAAAGAGACGGTCAAACCATCATGCAGCAGAAGGGACAGCAACGAGACAGAGTTGGCAGCTTTCACATGAAATGTCCTTTTATTATCTCGTACATCAGCTTTTTATCCTCCAGCAGAGCATATGGCCTCTACTAACTCATGCCACGATGTCCTTTTCCCTTGCTATCGCATGCAGCTCGCCCTATGTCCTCCCTGTCGTGTTTACCTCACTCTCTAGTCATCCCAGCATGAGTCTTGGTATCATTGCGGAAAAGATCAGAGATGAAAAGAAACGAATTAAACAAAAATGTTGACAACAATGGTCCTGAAATCCCATGCTATCATTGTGGAAGAATTTTCTTGACACGGGCGGGTCTTGCTAGTCACACTCGCCATTGCCGTGGACTGTGAGTCTCATGCCTCCTCATAGCTCAACACAACACTATTGCTGGAAAGACGGACAGGTGCCAATCAGTCACCAATCTCCTTGATGTTCAGGCCATGCAGGATTGCCAATCAGTCACCAATCTCCTTGATGTTCACGCCATGCAGGATTGCCAATCAGTCACCAATCTCCTTGATGTTCAGGCCATGCAGGATTGCCAATCAGTCAAAAATCTCTTTTATGTTCAGGTCATGCAGGATTGCCAATCAGTCACACATCTCCTTGATGTTCAGGTCATGCAGGATTGCCAGTCAATCATCAATCTCCTTGATGATCAGGTTATGCAGGATTGTCAATCAATCACCAATCTTCTTGATGATCAGGCCATGCAGGATTGTCAATCAGTCACCTATCTTCTTGATGTTCAGGTCATGCAGGATTTTCAATCAGTCACCAATCTCCTTGATGTTCAGGTCATGCAGGATTGCCAATCAATCATCAATCTTCTTGATGTTCAGGCCATATATGATGTGTCGACGTTTTTCTTCTTCTTGATTCAGAGTTTTCTAAGAACGTCACTGTAACATCTCAGTTCAAAAACTGAATGACATGACTAAGTGTCCATGACTGAGTGTCACGGTCTCACAATTCACTTACAGCTTGCTTGCAGGTGCTATGCCAAAAGTTCTTCTTATTTAGCCTCTGCATTGCCAACGTGAGAATTTTTTTTCTCTGACTTCTTTTGTGCAGTCGTCATTGTTGTTCCTTGCTGAGCCTAACATTCACAATCTGTGACATTTGCAATGGCATCGTTGTCTTTTTTTTAAAGGTGGTTGGTGTGCTACATTCATTATGAACATTATTGTAGTTTTTTTTTCTGGTTTTTTTTTTTTCAGCTTCAGAAACAGATTTTGTTCTTCACTGTGCTTTTTGACCGTCAAAATTATTTTTTTTCTAAGCCTTAAACACTGTTAAAAATAAGAACTCCGTCATCTACAAATCTGAGTTCGTGGATGGATCTGTCCCCAATTTTGAGTGGATGGAAGCTGTGCCAGGCCTCTTCATTACCTGCATTTCTCGTAATATGAGAATATATATTTAAAAAATGATGGAGACAAAATAGAGAACTGCCTGTCGCCACTCTTCGCCTCGAACGTTTTACGTGCTATTTGCCACGTAACATCCGAAGCTGGATATAAAAGTTGCACGTTTGTAGACGTGGTACGAGTCAGTCCAGTAGTGATCGAGACAACGACCGTTTAATTGCTTTGTGATACCAGATTGTCTACAGTCCGACAGAACGTTTGGAAATATTCTTCTGGTGAAGTTAGTATATTACTTATCATTTCTTGGCCCTTTTATACACTGTGGAGCCCGGCTCTCTAGCGTAGTTGGCTAAACCGGATTCCGCGGTGACCGAGTGACGAACTCCTTGTGGTCCGGGTTCACTCCCAGAGGTAGGCAGAAAAGCCGCATTTCTCCCAGATTTACGGTATTTACAATGGAATCAAGGCCGAAAAGTTGCGATATCCATAATACCGAGCCTAAGGGTCAACAACTCATAGCTTCTGGATACTAAACAAACAAAAAATACGTTGTGGAATCGGGGTGAATTTTGAAAAGGAGAAATTATCTTTTCTGTGCGCTTCGTAGTTAAATGGTGTTTCATCATTATCATACTCCTGCTGTTGTGCCATCAATATATTTCACGTAAGGAAATTTATTCAGCTACTACGTTTGATCCTGTAAACTCTTTCAACACCATAGATGGAATCCGGTCAGTCATCTTTGGCCTCTCTAGTTAACGTTCGTTTTGAGGTTTATTTGTCCATTTGTTTCGCCTCCGGTTTTCAGCAGCTCAATTTCAGAGGGTGGGCTCACCTAAGTCCATGACGCTCAGGCTTGATCTGCTCCTGCTGCACGTATTACCGGATGTTCTCGGACAGGGACAAGACGACAATGGTGACAATGCAACAAATACTGCGAGATTTGAAGTTTATTTATAGTCGCTGCTGTAGCCTATTAGATTAGTCAGCATACCTTGACGACCAAGTGGCAAGCTTACGGTTGGTTTATCGGATACATGTTGGACTTTGTTGGCAGTTGGCAGAGGGACAATTCGAGCACAATGGACTAGAGATAAGACTGCTTTTGGACTAGATACCCGGACCAGCCTATCGAGGCCCATCCCCCACGACGTTCCGTTGTATTCAAAGCTAGCTCGAGGCTCTTTCTGCAACCTCGCCCATTTGTTTTAGTGATCGGTTGCGCTCGTTTCCCAGCAAGCCCAATTGCTTGATCACATTGTACATAGAAGTGGAGAGAAGACCCCTTGCGCCTACCTCGACGGCAATGATTCTTAGTGTCAAAAACCTACCTTTGAATCTACTGCCTGACGTGCAGGCTAATGACAGGACAACACTGCTGACAAACACACCAAAGCCAAACACGGGTTGAAACACACACACAATCTTTATTATCAAAGAAACTAACTCATAGAGGTCTACACCTCACAAGGGGCAGATGCTAACGCCACAAACAATGCATGGTGTGTCTTACCGTAATGAGTTATAACTAAAAAAGTATAATTGCTACCCTAAATCTTATGCTAATTGAGATCTAAATGGAACACGTATTGTCTACCCTGTAACTTATTAAACACATTTAATAACACCACGAACAGTACACATTACAGCTAATAACTACGGGAGTACATTTCTACTAGTCAGTACGAAAGGTCAATGAAACTATCACACACTATCACACGATGTCTACAACACAAGTCTTGAGCCAAGACAGACCTGATCTGTGCTTTGCGTTCACCTAACGGCCGGGCCTGCGTGAATTCCGCTGGTATTCAACAAGCTTCGTTCAGATGACACAGATTTGTCCGTGTCTGTATATCGCCTGAGTTCAGTTAGCGTCACAGAGTATGATATTGCTGATCTACTATCATCACACTGATCTGTCCCATTCTGAGACGACCCCTGACACTTACTGTGAACACTTCATCTCTCCTCAGTGCAGCCGCGAGGTTACTGCATTTCTCGAGTTTATACGTGTGACTTTCGTCCATTCGTGACTAATACGGCATGGTCAGCCCTATCAGGATGAGCTGTCGTTTTTCCGCAGAGTGTAGGACTATGTAAAGGCCGGAAGTGGACTGGAGAGGGGGCGGGGCATACAATCAGAATCAGAAATAGAATTTTCCGATGGTTGGTGGAGCATTCTAAGGGGTGTTTATGAAACTCGAAAAACATTCTAAATGAAATCTGCAGCTCAAAGCACCCAGATATTCAAGGAGTGTAATGGTGATGCAAGGAACGATATCATGAATGCCAAAAAAAAAAAAAAACACTAAACGTCTTGACGCATTCAATTTCGCGGACAATGATTCGTCATTGAATAGACTACACACCGTTGGTAAACCTGTTAGAGCAGCGAGACAAGAAAACCATACAGGAGCCACCCATGGTTACATCAACCAGAACATGATGGAAGTTCATAGCCTAACAAAATCTTTGAGACTTACTCATGATGCGGTCAGATCAGTTTTGGTCATATCCAATGTGTGAAGAAGATGAACAATGAAGAATGACGTGAAAGATATTCTTACATTGACTTTATTTTTCTCTTTCAGACAATGCTAAATCACGTGGCCCCGTTGAACCAGTTGGTGATCTTAAAGCTGATTACGTTGCTAGTGTTTGGATTGAGGCCGGTCTTCAGTTCCTGTGAAAGTCGATGTGAAGCAGCAAACCGGGATTTGGTTGAACTTAGGACCATCTGGTCAAGGTCGTACACAATAGTAAACGGACAAGGTAAGTTTTACAGGTAAAAGGGGCGGCTGGCAAAACGGTTGGGAACAATTAGCTCCATCAGAAGACCTGTGGACTGAGGCTCGAATCCCGTTATGGATTATATTTGCTTTTGTATTAATCAAAATACGAAATCACGGCTATTGGCTACTACACCGTCCACAGGACCATAAATTCTCAGTCTGAAAGACAAACTAAGAAGGTAATAAATACAGACAGTAGAAGCGAATTTTAAAAAACATCTTTTTTTTTTTTTTAATTCACTCCATCTCGGGGAATCCGAGATTTAGTGGCGAATTCCCTGAAGAGTCCAAAAGTATGGGGGTGTTAAGGTGTGAAATGAGCACCGATTATCACTAACCCTAACCATAATATTGAACTTTTGCAGGAACTACCCACGAAACCTTGGAGTCTGCGAGAAGGGGTTAGAAGACCTGTCCAGAACAGGCGAATGCAGCTTGGTCTACCCTCCAGAAAAAGCAGGAGCAGGATTGTAAAACTATATCCTTAGTCACTGAGTCACAGTGTTATATTTTCTTCAGTCACAGTGCTATATTTTCTTCAGTCACAGTGCTATATTTTCTTCAGTCACAGTGCTATATTTTCTTCAGTCACAGTGCTATATTTTCTTCAGTCACAGTGTTATATTTTCTTCAGTCACAGTGCTATATTTTCTTCAGTCACAGTGCTATATTTTCTTCAGTCACAGTGCTATATTTTCTTCAGTCACAGTGCTATATTTTCTTCAGTCACAGTGTTATATTTTCTTCAGTCACAGTGTTATATTTTCTTCAGTCACAGTGCTATATTTTCTTCAGTCACAGTGCTATATTTTCTTCAGTCACAGTGCTATATTTTCTTCAGTCACAGTGTTATATTTTCTTCAGTCACAGTGTTATATTTTCTTCAGTCACAGTGTTATATTTTCTTCAGTCACAGTGCTATATTTTCTTCAGTCACAGTGCTATATTTTCTTCAGTCACAGTGCTATATTTTCTTCAGTCACAGTGCTATATTTTCTTCAGTCACAGTGTTATATTTTCTTCAGTCACAGTGCTATATTTTCTTCAGTCACAGTGCTATATTTTCTTCAGTCACAGTGCTATATTTTCTTCAGTCACAGTGCTATATTTTCTTCAGTCACAGTGTTATATTTTCTTCAGTCACAGTGTTATATTCTCTTCAGTCACCTTGTTTTAAAATTACATTATCTAAGATATTTTTATAGGTACTTATAAATTTTTTAAAATCTACTTTCTCTTTTTGCCTCTGCAGATGTATCATTTGAACAATTTCTATTGTCCCTTGTGCAAGAAACAGACGACCCACAGGCAGCAGCGATCCGGGCTAATGTGCTGCTAGCTGTAGGTCGGTACCAAAACTGTGTCATGGCCTGCGAGAACGGCTGAGAACAGAAATGAACAATCGAAAACATTCAGACACAAACTAAAAATGTTAAAGAAATAAAACAAGAAAATTGATCGAGAATTGAATGAATCATGTTTCTTCTCTTAGTTTCATCTTTCAGAATCTGTCCTCTCAAATCAAGGTATTTTATGCATATATGTTAGTTATTCAGTAATTTTTGGTTTTAACTTCATGACCAACGCTTCATACAGCATGTGGTCTGCTCCTGTACCACACAGAATGTCCATCTCTGTCCTGTGCGCAGAAATGGACACACAGAAGTTTTGACAAAGCCAATAGCATGACATGTGTTAAATGCATGAGACAGTCGTAAGAAATGATCAGACAAACAATCCGATACAAGAACTGCAGTTTATGGTCCATAGAAGCAGCAAATGCCATCAAACAACAGTTGCACAGGCAACTAATCGCATAAGGGGTTGCAAGTTCTGTGGAAACATGCATATGTCAATTGTTTATTCGCAGCACACAATCATAAACCACCTTTAGCACATTCAAAATGAAATCGACTTCTCACAGTGTCACACCAAGCACTCAACCTCATAGCTGGTCGACGGAAACAAGGCGTGAGACAATTGCAGTCAACTCTTATTGAACATACATATACAAACAAGACTAGACGTGGACGAATAGCAGTATTGTAGAGTGTACAAACAAGGCGTGAGACAAATGCAGTCAACTCTTATTTAACATACATCTACAAACAAGAGTAGACGTGGATCAATAGCAGTATTGTAGAGTGTACAAACAAGGCCTGAGACAATTGCAGTCAACTCTCATTGAACACACATCTACAAACAAGACTAGATGTGGACCAATAGCAGTATTGTAGAGTGTACAAACAAGGCCTGAGACAATTGCAGTCAACTCTCATTGAACATACATCTACAAACAAGACTAGACGTGGACGAATAGAAGTATTGTAGAGTGTACAAACAAGGCGTGAGACTATTGCAGTCAACTGTCATTGAACATACATCTACAAACAAGATTAGACTTGACAAGCCACAACACAATAACACGCTTGAGTTTTAAAAAGGTCTATAAAGTGTGTGTGCGTGCGTGCGTGCGTGCGCGCGCGCGCGCGTGTGTGTGTGTTTGTGTGTGTGTGTTAAACAGATTTTTGAAAAACGTGGAATTAGAAGTCACAGGCACACAATTGGAAGATTGACTGCAGATAAAAGATCTTTAGACCTGAGTTAATTAAAGATTATTTTCGGATGTATAAAGCAGGTGGGCACATATCTCTTGTTTAATTATAATGTTCAAAAATTGTCTATGAAACAGTAAGATGTGCATATACAAGAAGGTGCAACCATGCTTAATTGTCACCTTTTTCTGAATCCTTCTACTTCACACCTCCTCTTTTTTCCTCTCATCCTCTTTTTTCCTTGTCATCACATTCTTCTTCTTCTTCTTCTTCTTCTTCTTCTTCTTCTTCTTCTTCTTCTTCTTCTTCTTCTTCTTCTTCTTTTTCTTCTTCTTCTTCTTCTTCTTCTTCTTCTTCTTCTTCTTCTTCTTCTTCTTCTTCTTCTTCTTCTTCTTCTTCTTCTTCTTCTTCTTCTTCTTCTTCTTCTTCTTCTTCTTCTTCTTCTTCTTCTTCTTCTTCTTCTTCTTCTTCTTCTTCTTCTTCTTCTTCTTCTTCTTCTTCTTCTTCTTCTTCTCCTCCTTTTTTTCAACAGTTGTAGTTAGCCTCCACCATCTGGATCTATACACCTAGCAACGCAGGAGTAAGTGGCAATAAAAGAGCTGACCAGCTGGCAGGTAATGTCCTAATGTAAACGAGAAGAGGCATGGACAGAGCCGATATCATGAACAATGTAGGACTTGATTAGGGGATCATGTTGAATATCTGACGCTAACACGATTGCTTAGGCTGGGAGTACAGCTTGGCAAAGCACATCTATGTCGTCTTCGATGTAAAGAAAAGGGCCGCTATTGCCACATTCTCATGAGAATAAGAAGAGGTATCTTAGAGTTGCTGCAGCATGGGAACTCCCAATCTACAGTAACGTCGATTGTAATAACAAAACACAAAATTAGAAGTAAAGGGGTACTAAGCATATAGATAGGGCTAGACCTTTATTTAATAGACCTGTTAGCACTTTGTGGGTGAGGTGGTCAGTCATCATTACGCGTCATCATTACGCCGGTTGCCTTTACTTCCCAGGAATTCACCTGGTACCCATTTAAGGATGAACCGTCCTATAAGCCAAATTAATTTTTGAAAAAGAATGGCTTCGGCAGGATTAAAAAAAAAACACGATCTTTCAATCCACAGAAAAGCGTATATCCGCAATGCCACGGAGCTTCCCATAACATAGCATAACGGAACTGTACACGTTGTACATCCACATACTACATCACATACACAGTATAACAGGACTTTATACGCTGCACACTAACATACAACATGCCACGTCGGCTCCCATAACACAGAATAACAGGACTGTACACTTTGTCATTCCACATACAACATGTCACGTCGGCTCCCATAACACAGCAGAATATCAGGACTGTACACTTTGTCATTCCACATACAACATGCCACGTCGGCTCCCATAACACAGCATAACAAAACTGTACACATTGTTTATACACGTACTACATACCACGCTACATGCAAAACTGGATATAAAAGCTGGACATTTGTTAAAGTGGTACACGCCAGTCAAGTATTGATCAAGACAGCGACCGTCGCACTGTAAAGCCAAACTGTGGAGAATCATTGTGAGAATATTTTCCAGTGAGTATTTACTTTAACCAAGTCTCCTCTCTTCCTGGCCGTCTTGTACTTTGTGCAGTCTAGTTAAAGTCTGAATGTCCAGAGAGTTCTTTTTTGTGTATATCACATTTAGATGTTGTTTTCAAACACCAACCTTTTGTTGTGCCATTGTGTAAACACGTAGGGCAATCTATTCTGCCATTCCATTCAATCCTGTGCAATCCTTTAGTGTCTTGGATGGAATTCAGCCAGTCCCCTTTAGCCTCCCTGGTCAACTTTCGTTTTAGAGTTTTTGTAACATTTCCATTTTCAAAAGACCGTTTGTTTCCCCTTAGGCAATCTCCTGCACGATTCTGTTCGGGAAGTTCCACAGAGAATTTACTTGAACCTAGTCGCATCTCTTCCTGATCGTCCAGAAAGTTCCTTTTTTGATGAATTCAGTTTTGCACAACTCCATGTCATAGATGGACATCTCGTCATAAAAAAAAAAAACTTTATTAAAGCTGGCATATGTAGCGACTGTTTCAACGGTACAATATGAAATGAAAATATATGATGTTCGTAAGCAAGCTTCCCTACTAATTGAGGGACATTACCAAGACCGGACGCTGAACCCCACCAGGACTGCATGACGATTGATAAACACCTTAAGACACAAAATGCCATTCGGATAAGAATTCTTTAATGCGAAAGTCACAGAAACCTTTGTCAAAAATGTTCTGAACTTCTGAAAGATAATCCGTGAACGTCTGATCATACTTTGGCTTTAGATCAAGAAACTTTTTTCTATACCCTGCCTTATGCAAGTCGTAGTGTCGCATGATGCGATCTTTAATATAGTCAAAGTCTAATCTTAGATGTTCAGGGACATTTTCTAAGATCTTTAATGGTTCAAATGCTAAGTGTTTTCGAAATATAATGGCCCACTGGTCTTTTGGAACATCAGGAAAGCGAATTTGTAAAAAGGAAACTAGATATATAACTTCCAATGTCATCCTTTTCAGAGACATTCCTAACTTTACCGGCATACTTTTTGAATTTATTTTCTTCTTCTCGCAATCTTTCTTTTTGAATAGCCGCTTCTCTTCTGGAGTCATTTTCCATTTCTTTAGTTCTTATTTGTGCCTCTGCCTTTTCTTTTTCAGTCTGAATTGAAGCAGCTATTTTTCACGTTCCAATTGTGCATTTGTTTGTATTTCCATCTCTTTCAAGTGTTTTTTCTTGTTCCAGTTTTTTATTTTTCATCTGGATTTTGTCTTTTCATCTCAAGTTCTTGTGTCTTCATTTCTAGTTAGTGCGCTTGCAGTAATCTTCTTTCTTCTCTTAAATCGTCTTGTATTGTTTTTTTCCTTCTCATCACAAAACTTTCTAAGTTCTTACCCTTCTAAATTAAATTCTTTGCCCAGTTTGATAAGCTCTGCCAAGTTAGACATTTTGATGACTTTACAATGTAATCAACAATGAAGTTACAATTCTTTACTTTTAAAATACACACCCTTAAAAAGCAAAATAAGTTCAATATAATGAACTAGTAACTTGAATTAATAACTGAAATGTCTTCTGGGTATCAACAGTATCCCTTAAAATATAGTGGATGTAACTTTTGTTCAACCACCAAGACTGTAACTAAATGCTTTTATATACACAGATGAAGTCTAAGAGGAAGATTTAACTAGTATAAGTTTGGCTTATGGAAGGGTAAATCAGTTGAGAATTTAGATATTACAGACAGAAAAAGGATGTATTATTTGATAAATTTTATTAATCAAGTAACATAACTGTGTAGCAACTAGAATAGATGCAGTGGATTATCAAAGTATTTTATAATATAAATAATGCAAAAATATTTAAATGTCTAACAAAGATTAAATGTTTCACAATAATCAACCTGTGTAGCTCAGTAGTTGGTTGCAAAGTTTAAGACTTGACGACTACACCTTTCAATAAAAAAAAATTGTCTTTATTTTTAATGACTACGTATAGTCTGGGTATAATTAAATAGACTTTAAATAAAATAAATATTCAAATTATTTTAATTTTTTTTGGAAAAAATACTTGGTTCACTTAGCTTCGAAAATCGGTTATGGCAGAATAATCACCAATAAATAATAACTTGAAATAATTAAATAATTTCACTTAATAGTAGTATCGACAGGTAATAAATAAAATTATTCAATATGATGCTTCTAGAATGCTACTGTTTTAAATTAAGTTAACAGTATGTGTAGTTTCAATGTTTCTTGGATACTATCCGCATGTTTACATCACTAACGTTCGAAGAAAAAAAAACATGACACCATTGAAAGAAAAACAAACATTTTTGGGATATACCTGGTTATTCAGTCATGACACCAGTTAAACAAGAACAAACACTGTTTTGATATACCTGGGTATTCAGTCATGACACCGGTGAAACAAGAACAAACATCATTGTGATATACCTGGTTATTCAGTCATGACACCAGTTAAACAAGAATTAACACTATTATGATATACTTGGTTATTCAGTCCTGACACCAGTGAAACAAGAACTAACACTATATTAATATACCTGGTTATTTAGTCATGACCCTAGTGAAACAAAAACAAACACTGTTATGATATATCTGGTTATTCAGTCCTGATAGGTTAAGCTCAGCATGCGGTAAAAAACAACATGAAGATCAATGCAGACAACACCCAAATAAAGCCATTCGGTAAAGCCCCTGGTGCACTGTACACACAGCTGAATTTTTCCGGTCTGCACCAATTTGGGAAATGTACATGTTTAGGAAGTGTGCTCACGGAAGATGGCAGAAGTGACAGAGAAACTTAAACTTACAAACATGGATCGAGAACATTAAAAACAAATTCGAATTCACGGCATTGAAATAACCAAAGATAGCCAGCGTGCACTGGATCGCACATTATCTATTCAAACGACGCCTAACGGCAGAAGGGGTTTATGATGATGATGATGATGATGATGATGATGATTCAAGGATGATATCAAAGATATCCTTACATTGATTTATAATTTCTCTTTCAGACAATGGGAAATCACACGATGATCCTACTGGTGATCTGTTTGCTGGTGTTTGGATTGAGGTCCGTCCTCAGTCATACGTTTTGCATTCCAACATGTGCGACAAAGGACTCATTTACGAAGGACCTCTTTGAGAAATGGCAACTTCTGCCTATTAACAATGATTGTAAGTATGCACACAGGTGCCTAGATCTGCCCTATAACAATGAATGTAAGTATGCAGACAAGTGGCTAGACCTGTCTTATAACTATAACTGTAAGTATGCAGACAAGTGGCTAGACCTGCCTTATAACTATGAATGTAAGTATGCAGACAAGTGGCTAGACCTATCTTATAACTATGATTGTAAGTATGCAGACACGTGTTTAGATCTGCCTTTTTAACTATGATTGTAAGTATGCAGATACTGGGTGGTGAGTTTATACATAACAAGGTAAATGTAGTCAAGGCCCTTTGTGAACAAACAGCAGAAACAGTAGAGATAAAAGATTACTATGGCCTGGAGAAAAAAAGGCTTATGAGTGTAACCAGTCTAGCCGCTCAATACACTCAGAGGAAAGGCAAGAAGGACATATTGCCAGATTGTGACCCGTACCATCAGTATTGGAACTCTGCGCTGGCTGCTAAAGATGAGGGCTGTGATGTCAATGCTTGACTTAACTCAACTCAACTCACTTCGTAAAATTCGTCAAAGCAGTTATATTGTAAAGGTTGAATCCTGATTTCCGTTTCCACAGTGAGAGCAAAGCTCTCACATAGGTATAAGAGAACAGTTTTTAAAACTGAGGGTTTGTGGGTTCTTGAAATTTGTAACTATTCACCTGAATTTTGCTTTTCTGGGAAGTAATTTCCATGCCATATATAACACAGTCTGTCCCTAATTTTGTAGTAAGTTCTTTGAGTTCTGCTTCGGAACTAGCTGTGATATCAATGTCGTCTGCAAAACATCAATTACATTGCGGTGTTCTGAATAGATATAGATCATTCATGATTTTCTAGTGTTTCTCTCATGATGATTCATGAGATCTTAGTGTTTCTCTCATGATGTTGAAAGAAGCAGCAGCAGCAGCAGCAGCAGCAGCAGCAGAAGAAGAAGAAGAAGAGAAAGAGACGAATAAGAAGAAGAAGAAGAAGAAGAGAAAGAAGAAGAAGAAGAAGAAGAAGAAGAAGAAGAAGAAGAAGAAGAAGAAGAAGAAGAAGAAGAAGAAGAAGAAGAAGAAGAAAAAGAAGAAAAAGAAGAAGAAGAAGAAGAAGAAGAAGAAGAAGAAGAAGAAGAAGAAGAAGAAGAAGAAGAAGAAGAAGAAGAAGAAGAAGAAAAAGAGGAAGAAGAAGAAGAAGAAAAAGATGAAAAGAAAGCAGAAAAAGAAGAAGAAGAAGAAGAAGAAGAAGAAGAAGAAGAAGAAGAAAAAGAAGAAGAAGAAGAAAAAGAAGAAGAAGAAGAAGAAGAAGAAGAAGAAGAAGAAGAAGAAGAAGAAGAAGAAGAAGAAGAAGAAGAAGAAGAAGAAGAAGAAGAAGAAGAAGAAGAACAACAACAACAACAACAACAACAACAAGAAAAAAAAAAAGAAGAGGAGCATTTAATTAGTATAATAACATGTTCTAAAATATGTTTTAGATATATACAGCCGATTAAAAAAAAATCTTACTCTCTTGTCTTTACAGCGACGTCATTTAGACTATATTTGCAGTACCTTGCGAAAGATCCACCATCAAATGAGTCGGAACGTTTATACCAGGTTCTTGTGGCATCCGCTGCAGCACTGTACACACACTGTCTCATCCAATGTGAGCATGCAGGGAAATAAGGAATCGGAAATATAACAGATACATTTTGCGACTGAAACATGCGTAAAGAATAAAAACAAGAGAGCTAATTTGTAAAAGTCTTGTTGTTCTTTTTTCTGATGGCTTCATCTTTAAGAATCCTATATCTTAAATCAGGATATTGCATTCACATAAGTTAGTTATTCAGTTATTCTTGTTTCAAACTTCACGACCTGCGGGTCATATCCTAATTGCTCTTTCCTGTGGCAGCGGAAATTATTTAGAATGCCAATCGCTGTCTGGTGTAAAGAAATTGAAACAGACAGAAATTTGGACAAAGCCAACAGCAAAACACGCCCTTGAATACATAAAGTAAGAACAAGAAGTAAAGGACCCCTTAAAACGTCTTCAGACGTAGTTGGCATATAGGGCTAGACCTATATTTTATAGACCAATCGGCACTTGGCGGGTGATGTGATCAGTATCAAGCCGGTCACCTTTACTTCCCAGGATTGCACCTGGTACTCACTCAAGGCTAGGTCGACCTGGGTTTCAAAGTCAATTTTGAAAGAAGTCCGGCTCCGTCAAACCTCTACACCACTATGACTCCCGCTTTCAATGCACACGGCAGCTGTAGCAGGTGACGAGACAAACAGTTCCACTCTAGAACTGCAATTAATGGACGATGCAATAAAACAACAGCTGCACACGCAATTAATACCATAAGTGTGCGCAATTTAAGTGTCAACAGGTCAAGTCACGACATAAACCGCCTTTGCCATATTCCAAATTAAATCGGCTTCTCACAGTGTCGCGCTTCACACTTAACGCAGTAGTTGGTAGACGGAACTTATCCCGAATATGTACTGTAAAAAAAATAATTGATGAGATCACATTTTCCCATCTAATATATATCCGACACAAATGGTTGGTGGCTTAGCATGAGGAGAGGTCAGTACACATATTGTTGGGAGGGGCCTAAAGTGGTCTAAGCTTTGTTTTAGTGCATAATAATAATAATGTAGGGCGAAAAAAAAACAGACTGTAAAAAGCTGTAAGATAGAAGGAAACATCAACAAGCAAACAAACAACCAAACAACCAAACAAACAAACAAACAAACAAACAAACAAACAAACAAACAAACAAACAACCAAACAACCAAACAAACAAACAAACAAACAACCAAACAACCAAACAACCAAACAACCAAACAAACAAACAAACAAAACAACAGTTACCGTGCTGAGAATTGAATGTGACACCTCAAAATGGCAAGTGCGCCTCGCTATCAAAAAACTGTACTAAGAACATGAAAAACTATGTAACCCTAAGAAATGTGCCTTCACTGGTCATGTCCATCCTACAACTTGAAATTCACAACTATGGAATAGACATAATTAGTCTCAGACCATTGAAATGGCACAATAGGTTACAGACATTTATTTTAACCAAGCGTAGATTGAATAACAAACACAGCAAACAATTATTAACATATCGGACCGTAAAGCTGTGTCTAGAATACAAGAAACATTTATGAAAGCGATTTGATTGGTCAGTTCCATTGTGTCACATCTAATTCACATAAATAATCAGAGGAGTAACTCTTGAGGCCGTAGAAATATTATATATACGAGTATCATCAAGAAACAGAGTTGAGTTCAGTTAAGTTGAGTCAAGATTTGACATCACAGCGCTAGGGGCATTCCTATGTATCATCTTCAGCAGCCTGCGCAAAGTTCAAATACTGATGGTACCGGTCACAATCTGGTTAAAAGTCCGTCTAGCCTTTCTGAGTGTAGTGACCCGGCTAGACCCTCTGGTTGCACCCAGATGCCTCATTCATCTCTCCAGGCCATTATAATCTTCTATCTCTACTGATTCCGTTGCTTGTTCCCAAAGGGCCTTGACAACATCTACCTTTTCATGTACAAATTCACCACCCAGTGGTGCAGATCCAGCTATTTATCATTATCATACCATCATCATCGTCATTATCGTCATACTATCATCATCGAAATATCATCATGACATCATCATCGTCATTATCGTCATGCCATCACCATCGACATATCATCATGCCATCATCATCGTCATATCATCATCATCATCATTATTGTAATACCATCATTATCGTCATACCATCACCATCGTTATATCATAATACCATCATCATCGTCACATTATCATACCATCATTATCGTCACATCATCATATCATCATTATCGTCACATCATCATACCATCATCATCGTCACATCATCATACCATCATCATCGTCATACCAACATCCCGTCATCACCGTCACATCATCATACCATCATCATCGTCATATCATCATACCATCATCATCGTCACATCATTATACCATCATCATCGTCACATCATCATACCATCATCATCGTCATATCATCATACCATCATCATCG